AGGTTAATTATTTTTATTATTCATTATGATATAATTAATTTTAATTTGTAGAACGAATGCATTCAAATACTGGTCTTCTTCCATTACAACGAACAACATCTAATGAAGATTATCGTTATGGTAAAAGAAAAATAAAAACGAACATATTTTTTTTTTGCTTCAACATAATACTTTGATTTTCAGATTATTTTACAGCAGCTGTAGCATCACGTGGTCGACCCCCATCAACAGCTGGAATGACTCCTGGTTATGATATACCAGGTAAAAAATATTTCTTATAAAATACAATTTAAAAAGAAATCTTGAAAAATATAGAGTAGATAGATAATTACAAACTTTTCATCTGCAAACAGAATAAATGTAAGTTAGTAGAGAAACACTTCCTTTACCTAAAAGGTGTATGTGCATAATCAAGTTTTATTGCGTACCGGGCACATGTCAACACGTGACGCCACATTCACCGTGATTATAATTATCGAATGTGATGGAGGTGGCGCCCTCTATTGACATTTCAGTAGTACATAATAGAATCGTACACTTTTAGATAGAGGAAATCTTTCTCAATTAACCTTTTCTAGATCTTGTTCTGGGCTCAAAAAAAAAATACCATGACAGACATTGCTGATACACGATCGAAAACCATACATCTATAACGCCTAATTGTAATATATTAACTATTTCTGAATGAATATGTCCGAAAATGGATAGAATAAAACAATCTCTCTGTGATTAGCAATGGTAGCTGAATCATGTTTTAGATTTTAATCCTATAGAGATTGTACTAACAAATTTTTATTTATAATTTTGTTTAGCCAATGCCAATCATTTAATGAGTCCACTTCAACCAACACCTACTGCTTATAATCCAATGGTAGGTGCTACAGCTACTCCATATGGTCATCGATATGCTTCCGCTCATCCTCCTCCACCCCCACCACCTATTCATGGTTTACCTCCAACACATTTGCAATCTCAACAACAACAAAATCCTCATATGATATCTGTTCAAAATGGTCCAGTTATTCTTGTATCAAATCTTAATGAAGATGTGAGTTAAAGAAAAATATTAAATTTTTTTTGCAAAAAATCTTTTTTCTTTATTGAATATGATAGAAAAAAAAACATACATATATCTTTCGAATATAATATCTATTCATTTCTTCTCTTTTTTTTTCCTCTTTTGGACGATTAGATGAC